AGAGCAAATATTCTATTTCTTTGAAGAGGATGAACCCTCCTGAGGCTTTACTAAGCCCTGGACATCACACTATTCCAGAGACTCCCTAATACACAGCTTGATGAAAAAGGCCAGACAACCCAGGAAAGAACAACTTTACTTGATATTTTTATTCACTTAAGAGAAACATTCACTTATCAGGTATCACCAAAGTGCAATTTACAGAACTCAGAAGAGGCAAATTAACATATGTAAATTCATATTGTAAGGTTTTGGATTTTTATTTTACAAATATTACAAATATACATCCATTGATACAATATTGCCATTCGATCATGCTTTTTTATGTACATACCTTCAACTAAGAATGACTATTTTTTTAAGTTCATTTTACTTAAAAAGTGCTGAAAATTAGCTGGGCACCTCTGGGAAAGATTTGATTAAATTGATTCACAGACTTCCAGGTGATAGAAATCAGGTGCCCATATGAAGGAGGCACTAGAATCCAGATCATTTTGTATTTATTTTGAAAAGGGTACATCATCTCTCAAACCATTTAGAAAATGATGGGTTGGGAAATAAGGTGATATTTTCTCCAGGCTTTGAGACTGTACACTTCCCTGCAGGGGTGATATAGTTTGGTTTAAATTTCTTGAGATGTGGTCATCTGTGATTCTTTTGGTTGGAGGTCAGCTGACATGGACATGCTCTGGGAATCCAGAATGATCATTGTAAATCCCCATAGCCATGCTGTCACATGAACACTTAGGGAGCTTCCTGACTGTGAGTACCAGTATGCCTGCTACTTCACTCCTCTCCGGTATAGACCAGAACAAAGAGAGCAGAAGTTTAGTAGGAGGGAAGCGCAACAAGAATGTGGTGTGGGGAGGTGGGTGAGAAAAGAATCTAAAGAAGTAAAATTGCTGGGAGAATGAACAGCTCCATTTTCGGTTTCCCCAGACTTGGGTTTGGAGAAAGGATGTGGGACAATGCTCTGCTCTCCATGACGTCTCTAGTGGCCTCCATCTATGTCATCTTGTTTCTGTTTCCTTGTTTCTCCACCATCATTTATTTGATTCAAACTTTGTCAAAAAAAGTTTGACAAGAGCCCCATTGTTCCCAGAAATAGTTGTGTTTCCATGTTTAACTATGACTCAGGACCACGGACAGCGCCCAGGCCCCACCCTTTTCCCTAGCCCTCCACTGAAGTGCCCCAGTCCCCACTGTACAGTCTCCCATGTCATCCCTAACAACACTTTATCGCTTCTCCCCCACCACCTCCAGCTAAGGGTTGGTTCTTGGTGGCATATCCTTTCCTGAGGCAGCACTTCGAGTTCTCTACTCCTTCATGAACTCTGCAAAAACTCAAAGCTGGGATTCTTCTTCAAAATGTTCAGCGTACTAGATTTCCTAGTCCTATACAAGACTGTAGATTCTGAAAACTGTCCTCAATAAGAGTGATGGAGAAATAGGTTTTTCTGAATGCTAAGACTTTGGCCGGAAAATGCGGTTACAACAGCCAACCGGTAGTACATAAAAAGAAAGACATTTTCTAAATTTCCTTTGGTTGCTATTAGAAAGTGATATTTATTATCTTTTGGGCCAATTAGGTCATTTTCTAGAATGGCCTCTTGAAAACGATCATAGAAGTTTCCCTAAATAAAAAAAGTCTACTCTATTTAAATTTCAGTTGTCTTTTTAATTTTTTTAAACAAGATACTATAGACTCATCTTGAAATTTATAATCTAAAAATAGGATTTCATCAAAATACTGTAACTATTCTATTCTGGGAATTGATATACTATGTATTTACTATTTATGGCTCATCAAATATGGTAAACACTATACAAAAAGCATTTAAATTTATTGGTAAGAACCATCCTGTGAAAAGGAAATTATATGGGAAAAAATATGAGCTATGCATCTTTTAGAAAAGCAACTTAGCCTGACATTTGTGAGGGACAAGACATCACAAAATCAATAGTGACATGATAGATATATACAGGTACAAAGAGGATCACAGAAATCAAAAGGAAGCGATCGTCAGAGATTTTCAAATCCTTTCCTGGGCAAAAAACAAAATTCAAAGAAATCTTAAATTCAGTAACTTGATATTATACATTGTTGTGAAATCTTGTGCTGGAGGTGGATGAGCAGCGTTTCTGTGTCCTCATGGACTTTATCATGAGATTCAGTCCTGTGGAAAGACTCACAAATGAACAGACATTGGCTTTTTGACTGAGAACCAGGCAGGGAACCTTAAATCGCTTATCTCCCCAATAGGAAAGCAACATGTTTTGGAAGCAGATAAAGATGCTTTTGAGTTCTATTTGGATTTTAGGAGTGAGACTCGAAGGGTGTGGATACAGAAGACAGAAGACTTGCAAACAAAGGGTGCAATGATCAAAGAGATCTGGGGGCAGTTTTGAGATAAATCAGGTGGATAAGGAACAGCCAAGGTGGCTAAGATACCTGCCTGTCCTCTTTATATTCTACCCATATTCTTTTTGATTTGTTTGACTGCATTTGCTTTCGGGATGACTAAAAGATAAATATGACCTATGTGTGTTTCTTTCTTACAGAAACTTCAGATGGGGTGTTTCTGAGCTGCTTCCAAGTCACCAACCCAGTAGCTAAAATGCAGGGAAGCCTAAAGTAGGGTTGGAATGCTTTTGTGGAGACCAAAGTGAGAAAAATCTTTTGCTATTTACTCTTTCAGGGTTTATTCATGTACACCAAATTCCATGACTGGCTACTTCTGGAGTGGGTTGGGTTTCTGTAGGTCAGTGGTAGGTCATATATGTCTCAATATGGGTGGGTGTGAAATTCTGATGTAGCTACCTGTCTGCTCCAAATAGTAAATGTCACAGACTTTTATTCTTCCCCTTAATGTCTCTTTGTTTTTTCCCATTTCTTGAAGATTATATTTTCCTGACCTCTGCTTCTCAGCATGTGGCAGGGTTCACTTTAGATAGTTTCAGCAGCTCTCTTTTCCTTGACTGGATTCAGGGACTCCCTGCCTCCTTCTCATCTCCCTCCTGCATCACACTCACTCTGACAAGGATCTTGCGAGATGATGGTCAGCTATTAAAAAAAGTATTTTCTGTGATGTCTCTTTGGAGAAGCCCTAGTGTCTTAAAATCCCATTTGCAGCATCAGAAACATCTCTTCCTGCTATAGACATATCTGGATCCCTGGCGCTCCTCCATAGGAATTGCCTGTTGACTTAATAAGTGATTCTCAGGGCTGGGGAGTTGGCTCAGTGGCTAAGAGCATCCATCTTCCAGAGGACCCAAGTTTGATTCCCAGGACCCACATAAAGTATCTCCAAACTGTCTGTAATCCTAGCTCCAGCAACTCTGACACCCTCTTCATCCTCCTGCACACACATGCACAAACCCTCCAGACCACATAATTAAAATCAGTGAGCAAATCTCTATGCTAGTGCTAAGGGGTAGAACGAATTCAATGGGAGACTTTATTTTAAAGGAGATAATTATCTTTAGGAAAGTTTGGATTGCTCCTGAGAAAACAGTGCCTTAGACACCATGAGTCGTAGCACTAGACCTGCAATTTATGCCCATGGTGGTGCTCACTGTTGGGCAATCGACTGCTTCCCATGTCTCTTGCACAGGCCAAAGGGGTGGCATTTCCTGGGGATACTTGCAAGTTGTCCCATTCTTCCTCTTTCCATCATATGATGGAAATATTTAGGATCCTGCAGTTAATGCCAATTTTTTAAATAACTGATATCACTGTTTGGAACACACTGTTATGAAGTGTTGTGTATTCTCCATTCCACCCCTCAAAACACAAATAATTTGAGGGAGGTCTTAGATTTCAGCCAGGAAGTAACTGTACCTAGTGGTTGAAAGACAACACATAAGCCAGAACTCAGCTCTTAAGGTTTCAAGCTTCCTCCCAGTTATACACCAAGTTATCAGAAATCACTACAAGCTGGCCCTTGACTGTAGCCTTTACACTGAGTGAAGATTCCATTTTCCTCAGTACTTATACTCACATTTGCATTTCTTTGAAAGTTTATCTTGAAAATGCTTTTACAATGGTGTTTATATTCTTTTCTCAAAGGATGTTAGTGATAAATGTGGTCTCATATTAAATCCAAGGAGTTAGTATTTCCACTCTTCTTTTTCTTGTATCAGATAGCTACAATTTAATATATTTCATGTTTACCTCGTTCTTATGATATCTGCAATATATGTTAGAATGCTACAAGTTGTAACGGTTGAATTTTTATTGAGGGTTGATGAGCTGGAATTCTACTAAGGAATGCCATGTTCTAAAAGTGGTTCCTCCTATACTTTTTAAACAAAACAAAAAACCAATAATGCAGTTTAGATGGGGTTAAAAAGGATTTATTTATTTTTATTTTATATATATGATAGTTTGCCCACATGTATATAAGTGTATCGCACGGGTGCATAGAGCCCTCAGAGGCCAGAAGAGGGTGTCATAAGCACTGAATCTGGAGTTATGGATGCAAGCTGCTATATGAGTGTTGGGAAGTGAACCAGAGTCCTCTCTAGGAGCATCAAATGCTCTTCACTGCTGAGCCATCTCTACGGCCCATAAGATGGGATATTTTTAAATAAAAAAGATTACAACATGTTAACTAACTTGATGAATATTAGAAATAAGCTCCAAGTAGGAAAATTAATTCAAAGAACTTGGGTTGACTAAAAATATGTTACCAACATGCCTCCCTTTGTCTGGGTCTTCTCCTCTTAGGGACGATGATATAGGCTAAATATTAAAGAGATCTATGCCTAGCTATGAACTTGGATGCACATTCTAAAAGTGGAATAATTCCGTCTCTTTAATTTTGGCAGCTATGATAAATCACAACTATTCTTGTTAAAATTATTATTTTATTCATGCAAGATGATGATTAAGAAATCTAAAATGATAGAGTAGCTCCTCAAACCTAAAGATTTTGTTGAGTGTTTTATGTGTGTGTGTGTGTGTGTGTGTGTGTGTATGCTTTCTTTATTCTAACAATTCATTTTAAAATTCAGAACTTTCTCTAAGACTCGGTTTTATTACTATTACCTAATGTAGAGATTATTGGGTCATAGTTATAACCATTCTGCAGTTCTCACTTCCATGGCTGTCATTTGTGTGAAAAGCAATGGAAATTTTGTGACCAAGGAATAGGCCTGGGTTTGTTTGAAACATTCTACAACTGGGCAGATGAAAAGCAGTTTTCTTAGATCATAGATCATGACTCTTCTGTGTCTTAGGTAACTATCCCTTTGTGTCATAAACAGGGTTTTCATGGACTTTAGTTGCTCGTTAACAGTGTCCATCTCAAGAACTTTTGAAAGACGGTGGAAAGGCCTGAATGGATAATGAAAACAATTCAGCATTCATTCCTGTTGGGTTCTTTGGAGTTAAAGAGCCCATGGCTTTTCTTTTCACCTGTGGCTTATATGGAAGTCATATAAACTTGTGCTGGGGAGACTCGATCACACCACTAGAGAGGCCCATGAAAGGGGAGGGAAGCACGGAGGATGGGGCATGAGGCTGCACGTAAGTACTACTTTCCAATCTTGCCTCTGAGCTCCCCTTGCCTGAAGAGATTCTTTCCTTTTGACACCAGGAAGGGATGGGGCTAATGCAATAGTGCTTCTACCTCAAGCTATGTGGACAGAGTTCTTAGAACTAACAACCCAGGGAGAAGCAGCATGAAAAAAACTCAAATCTAGTCTCCGATCCAGACATGAATACGTGTGTTCCTGAACACTGAAGGAGAACAAGGTCAAGAGTCGATGGACACACCACACCACCGTACAACGGCGTCTCCTCCAGGCGTTTCGCTCTGCTCCAACAGCAAAGTAGTCTAGCGACTTAGAGACTTAGTAGAAACTGATCTTGCTCTGGTGGTTTTCTCACCCAGGTGCCAAGACCAGCTTTCTGAAAAGCCTTGAAGAGCTGCTGTTTAACAGACTGGTAGGTGTGAGCCCCCAGCTTGGCCTCACAGTACATGGACGGTGTGTCTCCATGACCGGGGATCCGTGTGCTTAGCTGTGGAGAGGAGGAAGTGAAGTCAACCAGTAATAGTAACATGAGTTTCACAAGCAAAATACCAGCTTAGTCCCAACCCTTGTCATTTGTCTCCTTTGCTGTACTGTACAGGCCTGAGGAGATGGCTCGTTTGGGAAAGGCCTGCCTTTCAAGCGTGAGGACTGAGTTCGGATCCCCAGCATCTGTGTCAAGAGCTGCATGTGTTTGTTCATGTCTATAATCCCAGCCCTGGGAAGGTGGAGACAGGCATTGCCTGAGACTTGTTGGCTGGCTAGTCTAGTCTAGCCACTTGATGGGTTTCAGGTTCAGTGAGAGACCCTGTATCAGGAAATAAGGAGAAGCAATCAAGGAAGACATTCAACATGGACTTTCGGCCTCCAAACTCATGTCACACGCACCCTCCCTCCTGTATGTGTGAACTCATACACACACAAACACATGAGAAAACAAAGCATAACAAACTGAAGGGCAGTTATCTGAATTCTATTGTGAAACTGTGTGAAAAACCCAATTGTTAAGGATACTTTGCTTTATCAGAAGAGCAGAGGATAACATATGACATATGATTCCCATATGACATAACATATGACTCACCTCCTAGTAAGAATTTAATATTGCTTTCTTAGCTGGGTGTGATGATGCACACCTGTAATCTCAGCAGTTTAGAGGCTGAGTCAGGAGGCTGCCGTGTGTTTAAGGCCAGCCTGGGATACATAGGAAGACACTGACTCAAAATGAACAAAAAAAACCCAAACTTAGCAAAACCCAGAAAGAGATAGAGGAGGTAGCTCTGAGGGAAACAGGCCAGGGAAAGATCACAGAACTTGGATCATGTAGGCAACTCCCACGAGGGGGGTGAGGAAGCACTTGGAAACTGCTGAGTAGAGCCTTGAGGGAACAGAGAGTTTAAGCGTCATGGTAATAACAATTTCAATCTGGGGAGTGCCCAAGTGGACTGAGAGACTTTTCAGAGATAAATGTCTCAAATCACAGAGGAGAGGTGCCACTTTCCACACAATGGTGGCCCAGTAGGGCATGAGGAAGCTTCCTGACACACCAGTGTGACTTTTGTAGTAAAATCAGACAAAGTAGATAAAACAGCGCCAATAATAAAACCACTGGTTTATATATTCTTTCCAAAGGATTGCTAGGGTAGGTTTGTGCACTAACAGCATCATGGCAGGTAGGAGAGAAGAGGGCCTTTGAGTTGTGCTGTTCAATAACTAGAAAGGCAGTAAAAGTAGGATGTTATCAGGCTTCTGAGTCATAGGAGTCAAAAGGTGGAGCAACGCAAGGCAGGGAGAACATATCCATTCATATTCTCAGTCTCCCAACAGAAAGACAGAAAGATGGAGGGCAGGCCTGTGGTAGGGGAGCTTCCCATAACACTGCAGTCTTCCCAGAAGGTTTGCAGATCAATGTGTCTACTCTGTGGCCAGTGCCATAGAGAACAAGAAAAGGACCTATTTGTTCAGCAAGACAAGAAGAGCCAGTGCTTCTCCAGACCTTGGAAGAAGTGAGGCATGGGAAAAGGTGTAAGTGTGGGCATGATAGAGGCAGAGCGCTCTAGTCAGAACTGGAGTATATGGTGCCATATGCCCATATCTGCATGATTGTGGCAGAGGAAGCTTACTGCCAAACTCTTAGATGACTGTAAATTTTTTTTAACATTCTCTGGGTAGGTGAAAATGCTTAAGCATTTCTTCTATACCTGCTATTCTACTGGTCGATAGACCAGTCCAAACACTATTATTGGGTGTGTATTTCATATGGGTGCACGTGTGTGCAGGTGCACAGAGATTCAGAGGCCAACCTCAGGAGTAATGCTCTTCAGAAGGTGCCAACTTTGTCCCCACCCCTTAGAGAGACCGCTAAGACAGGGTGTCTCACTGGCCTAGAGCTGTGTGGTTAGGCTAGGCTGACTGGCTGGACAGCTAGCCCCAGGAACACACCTGTCTCTACCACCCCAGTTCTGGGAACAATAGTGCCACCATGCTGGGTGTTTTCACGTGGTTTCTGGGGCTTTAACTCAAGACCTAGTGCCTGCATGGCCAGGGTTTCATTGACTGAGCTTTGTCCCAATACAAAAAATGAGCAAAATACCTTTTTTCCATTATCTTAGTTTTTATCTGTATTTTATTATAATCTGCTATGCTTTCAAAGTACATAAAAGTCTGCATTTCAGTCTTAACCCTCCAAAAGTAGTTATTATCTGCTTATAATGGAAAGCATATTCTGAAACATTGCTCTAGCAGAAATGGGTATCCTTCTGGGTTGGAAAAAATTGCTAATTCTGACAGCCACCATCTTTGAAAATTAGTGGGAAATTACCCACTTCCCTTCCTTCCTCCCCTCCCCTTCCCTCCCTCTCTTCACTTTGTGTGTGTGTGTGTGTGTGTGTGTGTGTGTGTGCTGCGTATGCATTTGGAAGTATGAAGGCAAGTCATAGATGTCAGTTCTCTTCTTTTATCGTGTAAGTCTTGAGGACTGAACTTGGGTCCTCCCTCGGGTTTGGTAGCAAGGGCTTTTACCCATTCAGCCACTTTGTCAGCCTCTATATACTTTCTGAGGAGTAGTTTCTTTATATTTGAACTTGGAATAATATTGTTTCTCTTTTTAATGTTTTAAGAAGAATTTATTATGTTATTTTATTTTATGTGTATATGCATGGGTCTGGGTGTATATATTCACACCACACATGTGCAGTGCCCGCAGAAGTCAAAAGAGGGCACTGGATCCCTTGAAACTGGAGCTACAGGCAGTTGTGTGTGGCCATGAGATTTCTGAACTGACCCCTGGTCCCTCCTAGAGGAGCTAGTATACTTAACCACATGGTCTTCTCTCTTTATGTACCTTTCTTATGATACACTGTGAAAACCAATCGGCACAGTGCCTGGTGGCATTAGCTGGCTCAACAATAACCTCTTTTGTTGCTTGATTTCACAGAGACATACTTCCTAAGCCCCGAGAACCACATTTGGGTAGCAGAGCTGGTAAGCGCATGGAGGAAATTCCTGGACAGTCCGCTGGAGAAAGGGCACTAACCCTGGGGATCCGTTTGCATGTCCTGTCTCACAATGACTACAGATCAAATGATGTCCTAGTTCCTGGAGCTTCCTCAGGAGTTTAACCAGAGCCCAGGTACAGCCAATTTTCTCCCCAGAAAGGATCGGTGCGACCTACCCTACCATGCAGCCGTGCCCACCGAGCAGAAAACACGTGCTTGCAGAGCCGGGATGAGCCCCCACAGCTCCTCTTCCCAGTTGTGGCATTAATGATCTCCAGGTCGGCACTGCCCACGATCCAGTTGGCACTGAACTGGGGAGACTTTCCTGGCTGCCGGGCCTCGGTGTTACTCACGCCTGTCAAGAGAGAAATAGAAAGTAGTCAAGCATTTATGTTCTTCAGCTGAAACAGGGCTCCCAGGAGAGCAGGTAATGGGAGCTAAAGCTTGTGTTTGAATTGGGACGAGACATTCGCATAAATACTGTCTTGCTTTTCTTCTTTAAAACTTAGTCACGTTGAAGTCATGGTTTCACCTGTCTGGCTGGAGGTTGGAAGTCACGCCCAACTCTGAAGAAAGCCTTGTATTGGAATTCATTGCCGGACCTGCTGTTAACCTTTTAATCGGAAGGATTTTATGGGTAGATTTTTGCCCCTCTTCTGGGAATGTCTGTTGAATGAATTAATGAGCAAGCAAAACCATTTGAAAATTCTAGGAATGTGAGCTTATTGGGCACCTACTGGATACCCAAAGCACAAGGTTAGTCAAAAAATTCTTTAAAGGCTCTTAGGCTTATGGTTTGGTTATGAGGAAGAGACCCCAGATTTAATAAAGGAGCTATAAGAGCTATATATTTAGGATAATCAGTCAAGCAATACAGTCTGTAAAAGCATTGATGAGATTCAGTGTGAGATGAGAATAGAAATCCATTTATTGCAAAATTACTAAGAATTTCAAGCCAGGCCTGTGGTTCAGGCTTAGGCAAGAGGATAACATGTCCAAGGCTTGGTTGGGCTACAAATTGTGGTTAAGGACAGCTGGAGTAACTTAGCAAGATCTCGTTTCCAAATAAGGAAGAAACAAGAATAAGCCTAGGGATACACAACATGGGTAGAGTACTTGCCTAGCACGTGAGAAGTCCCAGCATCAGTTCTTAGCATGGCAACATCATTTCTCAAAATGACAGCACAGTATTAAACCAAGCTCAGGTTATTCTAAGCTGAGCTTCCCATGTGCCTGAGTGTGTCTTTTGACCCTTGAAGAATCTGGTAGTGCCTAGGAGGCTCCCAGAATTCTCATGAAAACCCTTGTTTTACGGTGCACCTCTCTTCCCCTGTTGGACCATTGTGCTTTGATGTTCTGATGTGGGATTCCCCTCTGTAGGCTGAGAATATGTTTTATTACCATTGGTTAAGAAAGAAGCTGCTTTGGCCTATGACAGGACAGAATATAGGTAGGTGGGAAACTAAACTGAATGCAGGGAGAAAGAAGGCAGAGTCAGGCAGATGCCACGTAGTTGCTGAAGGAGAGAGAAGCAAGCCTGTCATAGAGGAAATAAGATATGGAGAAAATGAGGTAACACCACGGCCACATGGCAATACACAGACTAATAGAAATGGGTTAATTTAAGATGTAATGGCTAGCTAGAAATATGCCTGAGTCATTTGTCAAACAGCGTTGTAATTAATATAGTTTTTGTGTGATTATTCAGGTCTGGGTGGCCGGGAAATGAAAAAGCAGTCTCTGTTTACAGTGTTCAGGTGGGACATGACCCTCACACAGTAGAGCAGAGGAAGAAAGTCAGGACTTTTCTACTCTGGGTGATAGTCTCTGGTCAGCATGGGGTTTCATGCTTTCCATGTTATATTCTGAGCTCCAGCCTCGCCTCCTGCCTGACTGTCTCACAGTGCTCCTCATTATGATGAGGACTTCCTGGAAATGTTGGGGTGAGTTTTCTGGTAACTACAATGAACACCTGCCCTCTCTGATCATATCAAGTGCCCAACACAGCCAAGAGTCTGGAGGTTTCTCACTTATTTGTCTCTCTGCTACTTTTCTTGAAGGTTATGGTTGCTGACCCTTGATATCTAGGGAGAGACCATCTAAATAAAAACACAGTTGGGAGACATGTGGCCCAGATGGTTTCCACAGCAACCCCATGCATAACAAATCACACGCTCCTAAGTTCTGTGGGATCTACGGTATGGCCCAATCTTTGCTCGGAGTCTTGGGGAGCCACCCTGAAAGTAAGCAGATAATGAAGTCAATCTCTGGTCCAGGCACTTCGGTGATGCTCTGAAGAGTCTGTCAAGAGAATGGACATACCAGAGAGTTTTCTTAGTTTGCCCGTTTATCATATGAGTGCCTGGAGGCTGCAGGGGGCACCAAAGGTTTTGGCAAGAGCGTTTGGTCCAGTGGGATGGCTGCTCAGGGGTCCCCGGGGTGCGCTACACTTAGTAGAGAAGCCCACATGCTGGGAAGCAGTCCAGGTATAAATCACGACTGGGTGAGAGCACCAGAGGGCAGGGGCCTATATTCAACTCCCTGTAAGGGGGCAGCTCTCCTCTTCGCGGGAGATCTGCTCACACCGTGTACTACACAGTCTCAGACTTCAGGATCCTCCCGTGTCCCCAGCTCCGCCCCAGCCTTCTTGGATAGAACCGAGGCGTGTTCTCTAGGCGCATGGTCGTTTAGCTTTGCCCGTTGCCACCTAAACAGCCCAGCTCTCAGACTGAAAGTCACCCTGTGACCTTCTGGTCATGGATGGACAACGTTGGACATTCAGGCAAATTTCATCCACATCAGCTCTTTTCCTTTAGAAGTGGTTCACTGTCGTGGCTACCCACCCCTGAGAGCTAGGCAGGGGGGACAATCTGGCCCATTGGCAGCCGTGGACTGTCCTACTGGGCAGGGACCATCTCGGCAGGAAGAGACAGCTGCTGAGGTCAGGGACGACTGGGTACGAAGAGATGCGATCACTGCTTTGGAATTGTGGGCAGCCAGGCTCAGCAGCCTGGCTTCTTCTCCATCTCTGTAGGTTCCCCTGCCCCTCCCCAGTCTCTCATCCCTCTGGTTTTTGTACTGGGATTGACCACTGAAGCATCCATTTGGGGCGTCTCCAAAATCCTAAACTCTAAATTCAGAGGAAAGCCTTCAAATGTCTGAAGTCAACACACGACCTGCCTGTTACCTTGCAATTCATCACACCCCTCCCCTACCCCCTCTGCCCTTTCTCTTCCTATTACTGCTTTCCTGGAGACAACATTGAGCTTTGCCATTGGCTCTCAGCAAGCAGACACCTGTCTTGGAGACGGCTCAACGGTGAACTGGCTGGACGCTGCTCTCAACACCCTTGCCTGCCAGACTCACCAGAGCCCAGACAGCCCAGGGAGGCAGCCGTGAACATTCTTGTGTCTACACGTGAAGAATGTGGGGGAAGGAAGGGAGGAGTGCTATCCAACGGATGGAAGGCGCAGGCCGACAGACTTGGACTAAATATGAAAACAAGACTCCAGACTTTGGAACCGCAGAGACTTGGTTTCCAGCCTGTCTTTGGCCTTGGTACACATCATTCATTCCCTTTTGATCGCTGATGATGGCAACTTCATTCCGTAAGGTTAGGTGAAGATGACTTGAGACAGAAAGGAGCGCTTTCTAAACGTCAACTGCTCTAGTAATTGTGACTCAGGGGGAGATTTGAAGGTCACCTCTAGTTTGTTTAGTCTTCTCCAAGCCACACACCAAGACATTCCCAGTTATAGGACAAAAAATATGTCAGGTTTGGTGATTAATTACCTAATTGTTATAGGGAATGGACTAACCAACCAACAAGCAGAAGTCAGGGTTATTTTTATATTAAACATACATTTTTTGACTTTTATACATTTGTCCTACATTTAACATTAATACCTCTGTTGGAGTTATCATTGTTTTCTTATACTCTGAGCCTCTACTTTACAGATTATTTTTCTTCTATTCTATTCTCTACCTGCAAAAACAAAAATCCTGGGGGCTGGAGAGATGGCTCAGAGATTAAGAACACTGGCTGTTCTTCCAGAGGTCCCGAGTTCAATTCCCAGTAACCACATGATGGCTGTGGCATCATGTGGTTTGACTCTCAGCACTACATCTACATAAAACTAGGTATGGTGGTGCATGCACATAATCTTGGCACTAGGAGGGTGCAGGCGGGAGGACCAGGAATTCAAAGTCATAGTCAGCTAGATAGAGACTGGGAGGCCAGTGAGCTACATGGGACTCAGTTTTGAAAAATAATGAAATAAATAAACACCAACTTCTAAGGATACAATAAAAGAAGGATACAACATGTCATGCTAAGATTATTCCCATGATACCTAATAATCTAGGATGCTAAACATGTACAGCATTACCAATTTGCCCCCAGTTCAGTAGTAAGTATCTCCTCAGAATTATTTTGAAATTCCTTTTCAGTGGAAGACACCAGCTGATCAGAATCTTCTAGCTGACATGGGGCCCAATTCCAGTTAAGATTTAGGAAATGGATTTGGTATTTTGAAAAATGAGTATTGTGTTGATTACAGTTCAAGAAGAAAGAATACCCCTGGTGAAGAATCAATATTCAGAAACCTAGTACTGCAGGCAGAATTTTATGTCCTGCAAGCTTCTCCCAAGTAACCACACAGAGGCTAAATGTTAATTACAAATGCTCAGTCAATAGCTCAGGCTTGTTACTAGATAACTCTTACATTTACATCAACCCATATTTCTTATCTGTGCTTTGCCACATGACTTGGTACCTTTTCTCAGTACGGCATACCCATTTTGCTTCTTTCTGTGTCTGCTGGTGACTCCTGACTCTGCCCTTCTTCTTTCCAGTGTTCTCAGTTTCACTCTTCCTCCTAACCTTATTCTGTGCAGCTTCTTTATTAAGCCAATCAGAATATACATTCAAAGAGTGTAAAGGAACATTCCACATAGTACTGTGACTAGGATTAAGTTGATGGAATTTATGGTATGCTGCTTGGTTTTTGTCAACTTAGGCCAGACCTAGACATATCTGGGAAGAGGGACTCTTAATTGAGACAATGCCTCCATCAGACTGGCCTGTAGGCAAGTGTGTAGGATAGCTTCCTGATCAGTATTTGATATGGAGGGCACAGCTCACTGGAGGTGGTACCATTCCAAAGCGGGTGGTCACTGGTGGTATAAGAGAGAAGGCTGAGCAAGCCAAGGGGAGCAAGCCAGTTAAGTGTTCCTCCACACCCTGCCTTAGTTCCCTCCTCCAGGCTCCCACCTTAAGTTCCTGATCTGTTTTTCCTCAGTGATGGATTCTGACCTGGCTTGTGAGATGACATAAATCTTTTCCTCTCTAAGTTA